CGTACACTTCAATTATAAAAGACAATGTTGATAATCAACAAAAAATTAAATGATGCACTTTTATGAATATGTTCCAAAGTTAAGTGGAATCACTTGTGCCAAACAGAGCATTTAATTATTATTAAGAAATTTGCAAGAAAAATTACACTGTAAATCACAACAGTATCTCACACTGTACTTGTTAATTGTCGAAGTGATTAATTTGGCAAAATATAAAGAAAGAACTAGTTTTTAGGATTTCATATGCTCCAAGTTGTTTACAAATATAAACTTTCAATTCAATTGTTCTGAGAAACTTGAAATACTTCAAGGTAATTAACAACTAAACAAGCTTTTATTCATTTAGATTGGCAAACGTCATTGATGACGAACATATAAAATCATATACATCGGTGCGAAAAAAAAACCTTAACAAGTTTCATTATATTGATAATTAAGATTGAAAATATTCTCCTTATTTATTTAACTATCTGAACACATAAATATTGGTACAAAGGGGCATCAAATATATATGCGCCACACAAAACAATGAGAATTTAAAGAAAAGGGGAAAAAAGGTAAGGAGCGTAGGGAATTATAAAAAAAAGGAACAATAACGACCAGATTAGTGTAAGGTAGTGTAATTGTAGTAATAATGGGGAAACGAAGAGGTACAATCAGAAGAAACCTTTCAGTCAAGGAAGAAGCAACCGTTTTTTACGAAGAAAGTAAAAGAAGGTTACAGCACGATCGCCACTGGCTTCTATTCTGGGCCATATCTGATAACGTTTCTAGCCACTGTGTTACACCATCTCTCGGACCCCAGCCAGGGAGTCGTGAAGGATCAACACAAGCCAGCCCTTTGCAGCTTTCTTTCATACCACGACACCATGTCATATACTGACCACCTCTCCGCTTTTTCCAACCAGTCCCAGAGTCGGCAAATAATGCACGACGTGGAGTTCTCTGGGACGACATTCGTAGAACATGTCCAAGCCACCGAAGTCGGTGTTTCAAGATGGTGACACCAATTGGATTGTCGTCTCTGTGCCCGAACACACGATGCCAAACCTCTGAATTACTAACATGGTGTGGCCACTAGATGTCAGCAATCCTTCGGAGACAACGATGATCAAACACAAAGAGTCTTCAAACATCCTCAGCTCAGAGAGGCCAGGTTTCACAAGCATAGAGCAAAACTGCTCTCACCGTCGCGTTGTAGATCCGACCTTTTACAGCCAGACTATTATCACGAAGACGCCAAAGATGGCCCAGATTGGCATAAGCCGCTCTGGCTTTCACTATACGTGCATTGATCTCATCACTCACACCACCACCAGCACTTATGCAGCTACACAGATAATCGAACTTCTCGACTACTTCTATCTGGTCAACATCCAGAGTGAGTACAGGATTAGAATCCTGCCAGTCTTGTAGAAGTACTTTGCACTTCGAAGGTGCAAAGCACATACTATACCTACAGACACTGATTGCCAACTGATTAAATGCGGATTGCATGGCTTGGGCATTCTCTCACAGTAAGACAATATCATCAGCATACTCAAGGTCGGGAAGTCTTTCTCCAGGCAACAGATCCACACCACCATTACTTACATCCATCAGAACTGTTTCCAGAATGTCATCGATGGCAAAGTTGAAGAGGAATGGTGAGATTGGGAAACCCTGCCTAACCCCACTGCTTGAATGGAATAATGGAGAAAGGTGGTTGTATGCCCTCACTCTGCCTGAGGTGTTTGTGTATAACGCTTTTAGGATGTTAATAAACTTCTGAGGCACACCCTTCTTCAATAGATACTCCCAGAGAACAGTCCTATCAAACGAATCGAAGGCAGCCCTGATATCAAGAAACACTACGATTGTTGGCCTTTGATTAGTATGGCGGTGTTCTAACATTTGGCGGAGGGTGAAGATATGATCAATACATCCTCGACGCAATCGGAAGTAGACTTATCCACCGATAGTTGTTACAGAAACGACGTGAACCCTTTTTAAAGATAGGGACAACTATCGACTCATTCCATGACGTTGGTACACTCTCTAGTTCCCAGACCTTTGTAAACAACGTCGTCGGTCCCTTAGTCAGAAAGTCACCACCATCTTTAAAAAGAGCCGGAGGTAAGTAGTCTGGACCTGGTGATTTGTAACGTTTCAAGAGTTGGAGTTCCTTGCGGAATTCCGCCTCATTTGGTGGATCAGTCGTCACCGACCATGTAGGGCAGGACAGTCTGGCCGATGTTGCTGGAGCAGCAGGCCAGTTGAGCTGCCCTTCGAAAAATTCTGCCCATCGTCCAAGACGTCTATGGATGTTAGTGATTGGCGTTCCGTCATCTTCGCAGATTGTTTCGCTCACACTAGACTTCTTGCTGTCAGTGGCTCGGCTGCTGCTTCCAGCCGATTAGCACCCCCCGACCACCAGGCTTCTCGATCCTTACACAAGCTTTGCCCGATTTCATTATGTAGCATCCTTCGTTTGTGGTCAAACTCACGGTCACCCGGAATAGACCGAAAGGCTTCGATGAGTCGTAAAAAGCCTGAAATAACCCAGTGCTTATAAGCGGGACGTTTCGCGAACCCACAACTGACTTGACCCGCCATTTTCATGGCGTCATGCAATTTCAACCAATACTCATCTATACTTTTCGGTGCAATGGTAGCTAGCCTAGAAGCTAGCTCGGTTCGATACTTAATAGCAACAGAAGTTGCAACCAATTCGCTGACATCTATCCTTTGGTGATGATCACTCCGTTGGCCACTGAAAAGTAAGGTAGGGTTAGCGCAAACCAGGGCATGATCAGGGTCCAGATAGGTACTCCAAAATGAGCAACAGTCTTGTACACAACCCCGCCAGCGGTAGCTGATCGCGATGTGATCAATCTGAGTCCAGGCTTGAGACGCAGAGGGAGGACGCCAGGTGGCACATCGGCGATGACTGTGCCGAAAGTTAGTGCTAGCCAGAAACAGGTTGTGGTCTGTGCATAGTTGCATTAGACGTTCCCTGTTATCTGTCCTGCCACCAACAAGTCCCCATCGGCCACCCAAACGACTCTCTTCTGTGCCTAGCCGCACGACCTGAGCATTCTTCATTGCATCCGAGCTGCAATCTGTTGGAGATGGCGAAAGGACATCGCTTCTCACGCCGATTTCTTCTCACTTTGATGGAACTTTCTAATCTAACAGCACATAACCGACTGTTAATAGGGATCCAATCGATTAGTGCTGTCTCAGCTCTAGCGCTTCGTGCGACACCAACGCCAGAAAGACCAGATGGATATGTCACAGGGTCCCCGGATAAACGCACGTAAAACAAGCTTTTTGAAGTGACAGATGGAGAGCGAATTTGTAGTACTTCACCAGAGTCTTGAATACGGGTCTCGGATAGACAACACACGTCAATATTAAGACATTCCAAATACATAGCCAGCCCTATCTGTTGTCCGACTTGCATAAGTGTGCGAACGTTGAAGGCAGCCAGTTTGAACGGTGCACGTGGTTTCAGAAAACCTGCTTCAGTACTCGTATTCGGTGGTAACATACAATTTTCAACCAGGAAGTGACTCGAGAACGTTTAGATAGAGCCGAATTCCCACCATAGGCGAGCTGCTGTATAAGTCGAAAAATAAGGATAGACAGAGTGGGAATGAAAGAGAGTGAATAAATGACGTGGTAAATAATAATAATAATAATAATAATAATAATAATAATAATAATAATAATAATAATAATAATAATATGAATTGTTTGACTGTAATCCGAAGCGAGAATAGAGTTTTTAGTGAATATCATCATTTTCATTAAATTTGTGTGTACGCTGAGATACTGCCCGGGTTCCCAGACCGAAGCAGGTGGTTTTCTTAGGAGGCCACACCCCGAGCCTTCGACCTAAAGGTCTAACCCACAAGGCAGTGGAGCATCGTGAGGAGATGCAGTCCCATAGAAGCCGGTGACCAAGAAATTGGTTCATACGCCATTTGTTCCCTCAGGATACTGGAGCCCATGTGCACCAGTGGTTTAGGATCCTGTTAAAGCGCCGGACATTCGCTTTTCGTCCTCTCATTCTCGTAGACAACACCCCCGCCACGAGAAGGCAGTGAGTAGGACTTCCCTGGCAGAGGCTGTATACGCGTGACCGTGTGAGAGCATTTGGAGAGGGAGTGCGGGCCCACCCCACTCTCGGCCATACCAGGGCATGCAAATTATGTGAAATTTAACAGTTGAATTCCACCATTCCACCATTGAAAACTTGAAGGCACTGAATGGTCGTTTCGTCCTACTGTAAGACTCCTTAGCAATGCACATCCACGACTCCAAACCCAGGACCTTTGTTGTTGCTCGTGAACCCTCAAACTCTGGACCACTGGGCCGGCATTCAACGATGTTAATGTCTGACTTCAATCGAGCCATGATTTTGCACAACCCAAGAGATTAAGCGTTCGAGCGCAAGACCGGAGGTTCTGGATTTGAGTCTTGAGTGAGTGACCGTGAATGCGCACTGCTGAAGGGTCACATACCAGGACGAAACGGCCGGCCAGCGTTTCAGGTTTTTCAATGATGATCTAGATTAGACCGACTCACAAATTCAAGTATTAAAATTACTACAATCCCCATTCTGATAATTATGTAAATGACATTAACTCTTCATATGTTACATTATGTTTCATTAATATGATTGAATCGTTTGTTTTTTCCCCCATTTTACAGTGACCTGGTTTTTTAACCGTTAAATGTAATTATTCTTCTAGAATATATTTTTCATATAAGATAATCAAAAGCACGTTTCAGAGGATTTCTCAGTTTTACCTGAACTTTCATAATACTAGTTATACTGTTATCGCTTTCCTTTCGATTGTAAGGCATTCGAAATACTTCATTGATTGAACTGGTGAAATAAACATAAAAATACAAATTTAGCAATTTTCCAAACTATTACCTGAACAGCAATGATACATTTTCATTGATAAACAACAATTGAAAATGACAAGTGAAAAGAAAAATTCTCTTACCACTTTGTATATTATTGTTATTATTACCAGTATTAGTATTATTCTCATTTGTATCACTATAATTCCCACTGATGGCATTTTGTCCTCTCCATTTTCTTCCATTTTCACATAAGGATGACGATGGCGATGAAAATGTGGCAGTAATTGCTCCTGATGTTGATTGATTTGTGGTTGTTTCATTAAGTTGATCGTTTATAGATGATGCTGTATGAATTGGTGTTTGTTTATTTGGTGAATGTTGTGGTGTTTGTGTACGACTGGGTAAATCAGCTAAACAATTTGTGACCATATGAACTAATGCTTTACCATCATCTGATAAAGCAGCATGAAATTGAAAAATTAATAAACTTCCAACACCTGATGAACCAGAACGTCGACATACAAATGAATTTAAATTTCTCTTACTATTATTATTAGTAGTAGTATATGTTTGATTATAATTATTTATTGAACACTTTTTTGTTTTATTCAATTTTTCTGTATTATTATTCATAGGTTTACGACTAGAATGTGATGTTTTGCATGTATTAGATTCATCAGAATCAGCATCACTTTCAATATCTGACGGTTCTGTTGTTTCATCACAATCATTCTATATATTAAAAGAAAGTACAAAAAACTTATTTTAAAAGAAATGGACTACTTTTAAATGTAAACCTAGAATTAGAAAATCTCAAATGTATTAAATACAATATAAAGTATAGTCTATCATAATATTTGATTGCAGAGCAATGCAACATAGATTGAAATCGAGCATAGTGAATAAGATTATTCAATTGTTTACATTTTTAGTAGAAGTTCGACTGAATTTGTATAATTTTAAAAAATCCTGTAAACTGTAAGTCATTCTAGGGAGAGTTAATTTTTCTGACACATTTATAAAAGTAACATTTATTGTTTTAATTGAAGAGAGGATTATTCATTTTAAATAAATCTAAAAGACTAACAAAGATCCCTAAAGAGTTTAAAATAATAAAAAACGTAAAACTAATAATTTACATGATACAAACAAATCACTATGTAAACAAATGGAGAGAATCAATAAACTTGTTCTCTTATGTTATTAACATTGTTCTATTGATGCAGATGAGTGAACATAATCAGTAAAATACATCATTAGACAAAAGGTGGAAATTAAATATGCTGCATAATGAGAGACTTAATTGAAGAAATAATTCCCTTACATTCTGCATTATACATGAAAAAACCACTATTCTTCTCTGTTTGATTTTCTCAAAGTGTTTGATTGAATTAACATGTATATTTGAAAATATTTTTAAAATGAAATAATCAAAAATTTTAACTTTGAAATAACATATGACAGAAGCGCAAATATGGTCTGAGTTTATTGAAAGCATTTTCGAAAATATTGCCATTTTGTTTAAAAACTTTAGAAATTATATTCGAATCTTTCAAAAAAAGGTGTCAATTATTGAGACGTAGAAAATCTCTAACAGGGGACGAAGATTTATGTAGACATGTGTAAATGTCAATTTACTAAGTACGAATGGTGACTAATGGTCATTTGCAATATTAATATATATATATATATATATATATATATATATATATATATATATATATATATATATAAAGTATGTATATGCTACAACAAGCATAGCTAAATTATGAACTCATCGACAGGTCTTTATCAACGTTCTACCACTACATCAATTAAGTTTAACTGAAACAAACAAGAAAAAAATATTCAAACTTAAACTATTCTAATGTTTTCGCCATGGATAATGTATGATCAAGAAAAGCATTCTCAACTACATTCAGTAATAATAATAATAATAATAGTGAATACTATCAATAAAATTAAACAATTTTCCAAAAATAAGTTAAAACTAAACACATTAAACAATACACGACTAATATGACAGAATTAAACATGACAATGCAGTAAAAAGTATGCATTATAAGCTATATATATATATATATATATATATATATATATATATATATATATATATATATATATATATATATCATTAAAAACTTATTTCTTCAGTGACAAAAAAAACTTTGGTCAAGTAACATTATTACTACTATTGGTTGGCGAAATAGTAGTTTTAGTAAGTGAATTCAAACGATCAAAATAATAATATATTTCAAGCAAAGATGGATAGTGGCTAGCAATGGAATCCAGGATGCATGTAAATACATGTAAATTAAGACAATATCGAGGCAATACGGATAGTATACACATATACCAATAAGAGACTGATCAATATCAGTCTCAAAGATCAGTGGGAAGATTCAAGTAAAACGATACCAATTACACATAGATGTTAATCGCTGGTCACAGGAATTCAACAGTGTTCACAAGTGCATACAATACTAAAAAGCCTACAATGAATATCTAGTGCTTTAAATCATATACTCTTTGTAATAACGCCCTGATTCTTTCACGTTTTCTCCCTGAAATCTCATATCCTTTGAACAGAGGACAGATAAGGGCATGCTGTTAGAAAACAGTTAATTACCTATGGTCTTTAGCATGCCTCTTTCAATATTTTTTGATAAATTTCTTCAAGTAATTTTAAGGGAGATGAGTCTCTAGGCATATATATATATATATATATATATATATATATATATGCAGCAGTAAGTATATACCAATGAGAAAATGAATGGTTTCTACCAGATTTTATGAGGAAATACCTTAGAACTTACATCTGAAAGATAAGAACGTTTTCACAGGTTTAAAATATATAGCAAACAAACAAAATCAGCCTTACTTCGTTTAGCAGAGACAATTATTATCAGACACATACGACCTTATCCTAAGTACAGAAAATGTTTCTCTGTCATGATAACTAATTCTAATCAAATAACTCCGCTTTCTTCAACATTTTTGTCTTCCAATCTTATATTATCATCTCTTACATAACATCATTGATGCTTATACATCAATTAGATCTTAGTTTTTATTACGCTGAATAACTATACAACCATTTATTATTGCCATTACGATCGGCTATTCCGTTTCCCTTAGACCTTATTATCAGCAACCAAAACATCATCCTCCTTATTCTGTATTCTCATAATTATTACTTTAGTTACTATTTATCATTTTGGTCAACATATAAATACCCACCATTTTTACCAAAGTTTAACTACACATTTTTTTCGTGTTCTTATTACTGTGATTTTCGGTTTCATTTTAAACTTTCGTTTATACTTCACTAAATAGTATATATATAACTTCATTTCATGTATTCCGTTAGACAAACTACTATGTTCGAAACTTTGCATAGAAAAGAAAATACTATTGTTGATTTTTAATTCTTACCTCTTGTAAAATATCTTAAAAGAAACTGTAAAATATAATTTTTTTAACTACACATATTGGGTTAACACAATGATCATAAATTTTAATTTATTCTATGAAATAAGAACTAAAGTACTTGAAATATGTTTTAGTGGTCTGATTTGCCTTAATTCAAAATAATTGAAAAGAAAGTACATAATAATGAATGTAAAGCATCAAAATATCCATGAATGATGATGATCAAATTAATGTCTTTTGATTGAATAATTCCTATACCAAATGATGCAATACACAATAATATATTTCTAAACAGTAACACAATTGAAGACTAATCCCTGATTTTGGTGATTACGCGAAATGATCACAGAAGAATAATCAAAAATACTGAATCACTTTACAACAACCATGAACTTCAAACTTCTACTTTCAAATAATCATTTCAAAAGTATTGCTTCAGACCATAAATAACATTTTGCACAAATATATTGTATTGAAAAATGAATAATTATATGGTGAAGTCAATTCTTATGATTAGATCACTGACAAGGACTATAGCTATAATTTGGTCACTGTATTATAGACTGGTATTTTTAAGTAATTTCGATATATAAGAAACAAATCACTAGCTGACTGACTTAGTAATAATGCGTTCGTATTTAACTCTAAAATAAATTAATTAAATCAAGGAATATTAGAAATATCCATAATGTATGTCCAAATAGACAGCGATTCAATAACCATCATTTTCTTTGCAAATAAAAGTGTGGATAGGTATGCCAGAATACATTTGCATAGCTTAGCAATATGCTAAGTATATCTAGATGCAAAACAATTAGCGATGGCAAATTTAATAATTCAAGCAAGTGATAATTACTTCATGGTGTTATCTATGATACTTTCTACAAGAAGATGACAATATCACATCTAACAATGATCAGTGAGCACTGTGTGCAAAACTACTAAAAATAGTCTGCTTTAAATATATATATATATATATATATATATATATATATATACATATATATTAAATGAATGATACATCATACAAAACACCATGTAGTTTTTCAGTAAACAAAACTTGATTAGTTTTCTTATTACGTAAATAAGATGATCATGATGCGGTTGTGAAATATATGATAATGTATACCACTGTTTCGTGAGTTCAAACAGAATACTCTAAGCACATCTATTTCTTATCTTTCTAATGTTGAATCATTTTTTGTAAACCTTTATTTTACTGATGAAACTGTTTATGTTCCTCGATTTATTTGTATGCAATGGCTGGATCAAAGTGTATAATATTTCGAGCAATCTGCATACTTAGTAACCAATTAATAGTATTTTTTAAGAAAGAGAGAATTCAGCGAAGAGAATTTTCTTTTCGACGAAACCATTTACTTAAGCTGTACATTCGTATATATAGTTATATGGAAAATATATGTTTATAGGACGATAAAAAAGATTGCATCACAAAAATGAATTCGAGAATAAATAACAAATGAGGTTACGTACTAATCATGTAAGCTTAACAACATAGTTATCTGATATTAGCGAAATCTAAAAAATGTTATTGATTGTCTCATCTACATGACAAGTGAAATAAATAATTACCGCTTAGAGTATTTAGATATAAAAAAACAAACCCAAATAATTGATAACAGTGGGGTCTATTTATTTAAATGATTAAACAAGGTATAACAAATCTATATAAATATGTTTATGACTTATTAGCAAGTTTCATAATTAATCGTTTGTTAATTCAATTACATGCATTACTTCCGATTTCATCTTTCTACTACCTAATTAAAATATTTTCAAAGAAAAACTACTTTTATGGATTTTTCCTTCCTTTACTTTCCTTGTTACTTTTTTCTCAATTTCGATTATACATCCAAAGAATTTGACTTCAAGACAGAGAGGAAACTAGAAGAAGAATGGAATATGTTTTCTTTCTTATGACAGAAGAGTTTATGAAAACTTCGCAGCATTAACTTGAAATTGTCGATGTATTGCGCTCAATTTTTAAAAAACATTTTAGGTGAGTTAGGATTGTGGAAACCATTGAGCTTCACTGAAGATAATAGATGATGATACTGCACTATCATGGATTGATTGAAGTCAGACATTAACATCGTTGGATGCAATTTCAGTGGTCTAAAGGTTAGGGGTTTGCGCGCAACAACAAAGGTCCTGGGTTTAAGTGACACGTTCGGAGTCGTGGATGTGCACTGCTGAGGAGTCTTATACTAGAACGAAACGGCCATTCAGTGCCTTCAAGTTTTCAATGTTGGTCTAACATTGGTCAGTTCAAGAGT